TTTGTATAATACTGCCTTGTATTATATAATAGATATATATATATATGATCATTTGCTTATATCCATAGTAAAAACTACATAATTTCTGGCACTCCTCTGGATGTTCTATAGTATAGATGAGCAAACTCTGCCAACTTTGCAACACCGATATTAAAAAATTAATGATTACTAATCATTAGCAAAGCTTATTTCTTATATTGTCCACTTATTCTATAGAACATCTACTCCTCTTATTATTGATACTCAAAGAGCAACTGCTTTTTCTAACTAAAGAAACTTAGCAGTTCTTTGATGTTTTAATATAATATTATTAGAATTTAAATCAAGTGATATTCACTTATTCTTCTCTTAAATAATATTGAAAATCATTGCTTTGCTGATGGCAAATTATTTAGCTAACTTGATTTAACTAATGTCTTTTTGTTTTAAACTATATATTTCTATCTTTTATGCACCTGTTAAGCTTTTTTTTCAATTAAGCAAGATTAAATCAGTGACTACATTTATTTAAATCATCATTTTATAAAAGATTTAAAATAAAACTATGGTTTTGATATTCTATAGCTATTGCAATATAACCAAAAGCTACTCAAGTATCTATAGATATTTTGTCGTATCAACAAGATATAATCAATTAAGATAATACTCTAACTGAAGAGCTTATTCAACCACTGCTTTACAATAGGATGTTATTAATTTGATGTCATTTTCTTATAAAAAAGTGAAAAAAAAGAAAAAATTTTTAAAAAAACACAGAGATATCGAAGAATATATTAAAAAATACAAGTAAGAAATAAATAAAGTAAGAGGAAGACAAAAAAAACTAAACTAAATACAGAATTTTTTACCTGTACTGGATGGTTACAATTATAAGCCTATATTAAACTCTATAAAAATTACATACTACTATTTAAACTAGTTTTACTCTAATCTATATATATAGTATATCTAAGGTAAAAATATACTATGATAAGGTAAAAAAAATAACTTCTTTAACATTAGTATTATAGAGTGATCAGAAAGATCAGAAATTCACACTATTGGTTTCAGAGCATTGTTTGTTTAGATCGTCACTTTTAAGACATGTCTTTCATATATTCAGTTCTATATATATTTATATATTTGTTATGACAGATAAAAAGTAAATAATGCTGACTAATTTAGTAAATAAACAATATATCAATTTTTTGAAAAGGTAAACTAAATTAGCCACTTTTTTACAAAATTTTCCTTGAAAAAAAGTGAAGAATCAATGAGAATATGTAAGGTTCTTCTTGTGAGTTTTATAGTCATATAGTCCATTTCTTAGTATCTATTTGATATTCTTGTTTAGAGACTTTTGCTATACTTGTTTTCAAAATAAACCTTCTAGTTTAGATGCCGAATATGCTAGGAAGTCTAGCAAGAAAAATCTTGATTCAAGGCATAAACCTATCTAATATTCTTATATACTACTTCTCAGTGTTTTACATATTGTAGACTTTGTCAACAACAAGTTTGCTTTTGCAAAACCAAGAATATTGTTGTATTTACTTAGTCTTTTTTCTGTATCATTTGCTATAGTTCAATTATTTTGTTGTTAATTGAGTGATCTTTAAAAAGAATTGATTGTCTATTAAGCCTTTTCTTTATACAGAAGATTCATTTTTTTTATTATATTTTTATTTTTTGGTTTCTTGAAAGGTTTTATATTATCGCACATTACTATATGCCTTTTACTAATATCAGTTTGGTAATTACTGCTATTATGATTTAACATCACTACTATTTTTATTATATAACAATCAGGTTATTAGTACTTTTTATATAATATTAGAGCTACTGCTACCTTGGTTAAGCTTATAGTAACAAAAAAAATTTGTTAAATAAAAAAAATTATAATAATTAAATAGCATAGATTAATATTACTTTTCATATAATACTAGAGTTGCTATTATTTTAGTTATCTAACTTTTTGCAGCATTAAGTAAAAAAAGATCTACAAAGTGATTTACAAAGTAATTCACGACAAAAAAAATAGTTGTATTTATAAAAAAAAGAATAATTATATGTATAGTATTTTGTGATACTCCATTTTATTACATCTTTAAAATAAATATAAACTAGTATACAATGTATATCAATGCATCGCGCTTCAAATTTATATACTCGAAACTACAAAACCAAGTAATATTATATTCATGTAATCACAACTGCGATATAAAATCTTTATCGCTATCAGTAAATTACATCATTATGCAATATGTATATTTTATCATATACTAAACAAATATAAAGTCAAATTGGAGTCACTTATCTCTAATCTCTTTTTTTGTTATATTCATATCTGATTTTGTGTTATCTTCTTCACACTCATTTTCATCTTATTTTTTTGTTGTCTTTGAGTTTCTTGCCAATTTTCTTATCATCTTCGCATCTAATTTTTTGTCATCTTTGCATCAAATTCTCTTGTTGCTTTGTGTCTAATTTTTTTGTAATCTCTGGATCAGATTTTTTCATCACTTTTATCTTTAATTTTCATAAAAATAAATCATTATAATAACCTAATTAGTAATAAACATAGAACTGGATTGGTATAAACTAAACACACTCTATTTCTTAAATAATTATTCAGAAGACATGTTAGAAATAAAACAATACATTTTTTTGATGACAATATTGAATCATCCATGGCTAATAATACCTTCAGCTTATTTTATAATCAAAGTAATAATATTTAGAAATATAATAAAAGAGCAAAATAAAAGTCTTATATGCAAATGAACCTGATGTGTCAAATATAAGTAAATCTAGTACTTTAATTATAAGTGAATCTACTATTTCAATTATAGACAAACTTAGTAATTTAAATAGTCAAGATGAAGATGAGCTAACTAATGAGCTTGATGTTAACCTTGAAGAACATAATAATGAAGTTTTAGATAATGCAAATGATTTTGAAATATTTTCAGAAGATATTTCTATAGATGTTGCATTCGATTCTTGGGTAGATGTTGAAACATTCTTTGAGGAATATAAAAGACAAAATAGATTTACTGTAATTAAGTATTGTATAGAGAAAAATAAAGCAGAAATGATTCATAAACAAACTTTTATTTGTGAGTTTGGAGGAAAATATAAACCTCATAAAAATCAGAAAAGTAAACAAAAAAATATAAGAACAAAGAAGATTAATTATAAGTAGCATGTAAATTTCTCTTATAGAGAAGTTAGAACTCATATATCAATTACCACAATCATTAATAAATATAATCATACTTTATATATAGAAACACAAGATTTTGGGCTCAAATATTGTTCTTTTACAGAAGATGTTCAAAAAAAAATAGAAATTATAACAAAATATGAAAACTTATCTATTATATTACAGTATAATATTTTAAAAGTATATTTTTCTGATTTGCAATTTTTTGATAGTGATCTTGTCAACTGTATCCAGAAATTTAAAAGAGATAAGTATGAAGTGAAAGATGCATTAAAACTTCTTAACTTATTATTAGCTAATAAAATAAAAGGTTGTGGAATTTGAGTTAGATAAAGATAATAGACTTACATGATTATTTTGAATGCAGATTGACTTGTATCTAAAATATTATGATGTAGTTATCAGTAATAATACAGCAAAAACTAATTAATATCAAATGCCCTTGGGTCTATTTGTGATTATTGACAATAATAAAAAAATACGACTTGTTTATCAGGCTCTAGTGAGCAATAAGACTCTTAATACTTATAATTTGATACAAAAATAGAGCTCTTAGTTATATTTACTGATGCGAATCTAGCACTTGATACTGCGATTTGTATTATATTCACTGAAATATATACTGTATATTGTATTTTCATATTGGACAGAATTTACTCAAGAATTTAAAAGCTAAATTAAGCAACAAATAGGAAGACTTTATGAGAGCTTTTTATTAGTACTGTAATAGTCTTTATGAACTACTTTTTCACAAATGTTAGAATAAAATGCTTAACAAATATCTAATAGCAAAGGATTATTTGCTATATTTATTGTATCCATTTAATAGATCTTGAGTATATGCTTACCTTTCTAAAATTTTTACTACTGGGATTGAGAATATAGCTCGAGTTGAATGCTATAATTGGATAATTAAGAAGGAACTAAAGTCAAACAATACATTGTGTAAACTTGCAGATCATCTTGAAAGATATTTAGAATCAGAAACACAATGGAATAGATATAATCAATATAAAAACTCAACAATATTTGCAACTATATCTACTGCTAGACATAATATTTTCTCTGAAGTAGTCAATGTTATTAATAAATATCTCACAGAGGCAATTAATAATATAGTAAAGTTTAAAATAGCTCAATATTTGTTTCTTATAGCAAGTAGAATTGAACTAATACACAAAAAGCTAATTTTTAAACAAGAAAGTATTGAAGAAGCTTTGAATAGATTTATTAAAGATAATTATAATGTACATAAAATTACTCTTCAGGCTATAATAGATAAAGTCAGAAGTGAAAGTATACAAGAAATTTGAAAAATTTCTGATATTCGTAGCAAAAAAAAGTATCACATATATTTTATAGTCATAGTAAACCCAGTGTCTTTTTATGTTTATATCTTATGTCAATTTCAAGGGAAATTGTTTGTCATCACTATTTTCATATTATAATGCATTCTAACATCACAGCATTTTACATATCAATGATTTTCCATGATGGTACAAAGACCCTTATCAGGAAAATTTAAATTATAGAAATAAGAAAATTATATCCATTCATAGAAAGAAAATTGCTAATAAAAGGTGTGATGATAATGATAATATTCTGATTTAAAGATTATCAGTTTCGGTTATGATACCAGCTACAAAAAAAACTCTACAAAAACAAAATAAATATAGTAAAATTTGAGGACTAGCTTGTGAGACAATATTACTAGCAGTAGATAATGATGATAATGAAATTGTTAATATTCTTCAAAACTATATCATGAGAAAAAAATGAAAACAGCAAGGAAAATATGCTTTTAAGATTAAGTAAAATGGATATCAATGTGATTAAATATAAGGCCATATCTGAAGAGCCAGATGAATCAGATGATAGTTATTTTAACATTGAAGTACTTGATAACCAAGATATCAATATACAAGTTTCTCAGAATATTTAAAATTTTACTTGCATTATTAGAAAAGAAAGACCTTCTAAGCGTTACTATAAAAGTAATATAGAAAAGAAACAAACTTGACAAGAATCTTCTTCAAAAAGTTTATATAAATGTAGACAATATAGTAAAGTTAGTCATAATGCAGCCTATCACAAACTAAAGAAAAAAGAAAGAAGTAATTGAGAGAAAAAATATTATGTAGCCACATGCCTAATTCACTTTATTAAGAGATCATATTACACAATTTAATATATATTACTATAATTCAATTTATCAAGAAAGTAGTATTTATGTATCTGCAAACCAAAATGTAAACAGATCAAGCTAAAAGCAATTTTACTAGCTAATCAAATATTTTGCCTATGAAATCTTCTATATACAAAAAGTTTACTTACAGTGTTTTTTAAAATTAAATGCATATATGTCACTAAAAAAAACTCTGACAATTTATATAAGTCATTTAAATTATCAGGTTTATTTTTAGCAATACTCATATATACTGTATATTGTAAGCAAAAATAGAGTTTAAGTTAATTTGAAATTATTAAAGATAAAGTTTAGATATATATATTATTATGTTTTAATCCAAATAAATTTCATACTTATAGTAGTATATGCATTAGTTTGATATATATATAAATATAATTTAGTACTTGAAGTTTTAGTTTTAAGCTACTAGCTTGATTTTTAATTAATTATGCATAGTGTTTGAAATCAGATTAAAAATCTCAGTTTATCTGGAATTGATCTGAATTTGATCTGAATCCAAAATTTAGATTGATTCAGGGCCAATCCAAGGCCAATCTAATGGTTGATCTAAAATTTGACACATATATTGTAATACATTATGTGATAAATTTGAAATTATTACATGACAAATTCAAATCTGTTATATATACAGTAGCCAACAAAAGTAACGCCTGATTTTTGCTCAATATGGAAATTTTTTTATTAATAAAAATTTGACCGCACATACATAAATTTTTTTTTATTTTTTATTTAATATTTTGATGAACGACCATCTACAGCTGCAATAGCCTCAGTTCTTTGTATCATTGAGTTTGAAACTACACGAAGAACCAAGATATCCAAATTTGACCATGCCTCCGTCAAGGCCATCTTAAGCGCAGATTTATCACGGGGGAAGTCATCACGGTTCTGAATATTGTCCTTCACGATCCTCCAAATGTTTTCTATGGGGTTTAGGTCAGGGGATCGTGAAGGCCAATTCATATAATCTATTTTTTTTGATTTTAACCAATTTGACACCTTGTGAACAGGGGCATTATCATGCTGAAAAATCGGATGGGAGTTGAGTAACAACTGAGCAGCAGCTATAAACGGTACGAGGTGGTCGTCTAAAACCTTGGTATAAATTATTTTAGTAATTTTTTCCTTGAGATCTTTGTAATCATCAAAAAAAACCATAGGTCCTTTAATCGTATCCACATAACACGACCAAACCATTACTGAGATCCCACACCTAAAATTCGGTTGCAAACACTCATGTTTGTATCGTTCATCCGCGCACTGCTATACTCGAACTTGGCGGGATTGTTTACCAACTTCCACACTCATTTCATCAGAAAAAATGATCCGCCACCAAAAATAAGCGTCCTTGCCTTTATATTGGTCACACCAATCTTTCCGTCCAACTATATTGCTTGGTGACAAGAAAGGTTTCAAGGTAGCAACGCGGGAACGAAGCCCAGCGTCGTGTAAGGTTCTAGCTACGGTCTGCACACTGCATTGAAGGTTTAAATCCTTCACAATTTTGAGCAGGGGCACACGTCTTTCCTTCACCGCTTTTTTTACTATGGCGGTCTTTTCTTGCTTCTTTAGGGCGGGGGGACGTCCGGACCGAGGTAAATTTGCTATTTTTTTGGTCCTCTTATACTTCGCTAAGAACCTTCGAATTGTTGTTGGGGCACGTTTTAGCTTTTTGGCCACTTGCTCAGCACTCATTGTACTGATATAAGCAAGGACCATTCCTTTCTCTTTATCATCCATTTGTTTACACGGCATTTTCATTAAAAAAAAATTATTTGACTCTTTGGGCTTGTTTTTTCAACGTAAAAGAAGCAAAAAATAAAAAAAAATTGCCCCCAATTACGTATATATGGGGCAAACACAGCCCCATTATTTGCTTACGTGAGGTGATCTGCAAATCGGGCGTTACTTTTGTTGGCTACTGTACTATAACACAAAATATAATATATTCAAATTTGGCTTGTGATTAATTTGAATCTATTACATTTTGTAATTATATAAAGAGATGATCCTAAAATTAGACCCAATTCTACTCAATCTGACCCAATCTAAATTTTCTGGGCCAAAACTGATCTGACAGTTGGGATTGGATCAAAATCTGAATTCGATTTGATTTAACTTTTTTTTTTTTTTTTTTTTTTTTTTTTACCTTCGCAATATCGCGAGAAGGCAGATTTTATTAGGTATTTAGATAAT